ACGCACACACACACACACACATTGGTCAATAGTGTTACTGGAAGGTGGTGATACATTGTGTGTGTGTGGTGTGTGTGTGTGTGTGTGCACACACACACACACACACACACACACCACACACACATATATGTATGGTGGAGACTACTTGGATGTCTTCTGGGATATGGGGGCATACCCTTGAAGTGAATATTGGGATTGGGATCTTGGTCTTGGTCTGTTCTCTCCCCCCACTTTTTTTTTTGTTTTTGTTTTTGGAGCACCATGAGGTGAGCAGCTTGCTCTACTGTGCATTCCCTGCTGGATTTACTGCTTCACCACAGGCCCAAAAGCAACAGGGCCAACTGATCATGGACTGAAACCTCCTAACCTACATCTTTGTTTTGATAATGGAAAACCAACACACATATGCCCCACACAATCAGGAAACAGGAACCTTTAAGAAGTATTCTTTCAAGGCTCAGCCTAGCCCATATGTCCGCTGACATTTCCTGTAAGCATGTTTCTCTGTGGGACCTTGGAATAATCACTTCTTTCAATGTTCATGTTCTTGCATGTTCTTTGAGAAGCTCTCTGGATGGCAATGGATGCACAATGAGAGGCAGAGGCTACCCTAGATGGGAACTCTCATTCTTCCATATCTGCTGTTATGGTTTGGATCTAAAATGGTCCCCAAAGCCTCATGTGTTCAGAAGGTGTTATGGCTTGTATCCAGTTGTCCTCCCCAAAGCCTCATGTGCTCATAGGTGTGGCTTCTCAGAGATGGCTGTTATTCAGGTTGTGTAAATATGGATTAAGGGCATGTAACAACTAAATTAGTCTACTGATTGGTTTAGCATAGTTAGCATCTGGGTGTGAATAATGGGGAGAACCACCCTGGGTGTAGGTAGCATGAACCAATAGTCTTGTAGCTTGAATTGAATAAGAGTGAAAGGGAGGCTCACTGCTTTGCTGCTGCCTGCCTCTTGCCTGCCTTACCATAGACTGTTTCTACTCCATGATACCCCCCTGCCATGCTGCCCTGCTTTAGAACCAACCAGCTGAGTATGGATTGAAACATCTATGGGGTGTGAACTAAAATAAACATTTCCTCTTTTAACTTGTGTATGTTGGATATTTTGTTCCAGCAACAATGAAGTAGCTAAGGCAGACAGTGATTGGCTTATGATTGGATTATATAGCTCACTTGCTGTTAGGATTGGGGCATAGTCAGAAGAGGTGGGTCACTAAGGCAATATCTCACTTCTGGTTCCTCCTTTAACTCTCTCCCTCTGCTTTCTGGATGCCATGAGATAGGCAGCTTTTCCTCTGCCATAACCCTCTGCCATATTGCCCTGCCTTGAGGCCAGCCGACTATGGACTAAAACATGAGCCAAAATAAACCTCTCCTCCTTTAAGTTGTAGGTGTCTTAGTAACAGGAAAGTGACTCAGACAGATTTTGGCACCAGAGAAGTGGGACTGTCACTGTGAATTTATACTTGATTATGTGATTTAGATATCTTTTGTACTGGTTTGTGAGAGGAGTCTGGAAATGTTTGGAGATGAAGTAGCTCTAGAATGCTGTCAGCCAAGTTTGATGGGAGATTATGGTCAGATCTCAGATCAGAATACTGATAGAAATTCACACTAGAAATACCAGGCTCAAAGGACTTTACTTGTGAACAAGGACTCTACTTTCAGTTTTACTCAAAGCCACACGTGTATGCTGTGGTAGAAAATTTGTTTGCATTTTGCTTATGTCCCAAGACTTTGTGGGAGATTGAGATTAAGGGCAGTGGACTAATAAATCCTCTGGAAGAAATTCTAAGGCAACCCAGTGTTGAGACTGTGGCATGAATACTGTTGGGGCTTTTTAGCCAGGTTTATACTGAAAATCAAGAGCAAAAAGTCCACTAAAAGTTTCCAAATTAGTCAGAAAGGAAATATCTGTAAAACAGGAGTGGAAGAGAGCTTGGTTGCAGAAAAGATTAGCATTAAAAGGAAGCCAAGTACTTTGGAATAGGACAATAACAAAAATGGCTTGAGGGCATCACAGGAACAAGCAAGGATCCACCCTTTGCAGACTCAAAATTGCAAAAGTCAGACTTCCTTTGAGAAGACAACCTCTGGGTACTGTGCTTCAGAAAGGCTACCTAATGAAAATGTCTGAGGAAAACCCTAAGTGAGCAAAGCCAGCTCAAGAGAAAAAGTCCAGAGGGCTACCACCACCAGCAATGGCAAAGGAGCAGGGCTATACAAGCCTTCTAGAGTTTATATCTCTTCAGAGCTTGCTCTGGGTGCTAGACATGAAGCTATAAGATTTAACATTTATTCTGCAGGATTTGGATCTTGCTTTGATCCCACTCCTTTCTACCCTGCATTTCCACCTTTTGGAAAGAAAATATTTATCCTATACCCTTGTACTTTGGGAATATTTATTTATTTATTTACTTTTAAAGGGCTCATAGCTAAGAGTTTGCTTTAAGTGTCAGAGGAAATTTTGGACTTGGACTGTCCAGCAATGCTGGAACTGTTAAGACTTTGGAGACTCTTAGAAATGCTCATGAGTCTTTTGGAGACTGGGGGAGAAGGATGCTATGGTTTACATCTAAAATGATCCCCAATGCTCATATGTTGGAAGGTGATTGGGTTATGAAGGTACCATGGCTGACTTGTTGTTAGGAGGTGGGGTCCAGTCAGAAGAGTTGAGTCACTGGGGGAGTGACCCAAAAAAGTAAAACTCCTTTCCAGTCTCCTCCTTTGATTCTGATTCCTGGCTGTCATGAGGTAAGCAGCTTTTCCTCTGCCACATCCCTTTGCCATGCCATCCTGCCTTGGGGCCAGCCGACTATGGACTAAAATGGGAGCAAAAATAAACCTCTCCTCCTTTAAATTGTGGGTATCAGGTATTACATCTTAGAGATGGGAAAGTGACTGAGACATCTGTGATTCCTAAAAGCTGAAAATCAGAGGGTCCACCTTATCTGCTCATTTTAATGAAACAAGGCACCATTTATAAGTAGAACACATAGCTTAATGACTGGTGGGTGCTAAGTATTCAGCATATATCAGCAGTTGGCAGAAGTCATCATAGTGTTAACATCCAAAGCTAGAGCAGAGTGCTTCCATGTAATTTCTCTAGTCTGAGGGTGATGGGGTTGGCTGGGAGATGAATAGTCACTAGAAAGTATTCTGGAGCCAGATGATTTCATACAAGTCTATGCTTACCTATTGGCAATTGCATTATTCATTCATCCACTTACTCATCCAACATACACTTACTGAACGCCAGTGGCCCTGAAACCTCTGATATCTGGAATTCATGAAAGCTGTGTCCTGAGCTGGCACACAGAGCATTACATCAAGAAACCTGTTCGCCCCCCGCAAAACAAAACAAAGCAAAACAAAAAAGGGGCCAGGGATTCAGCTCAGTGGTTCAGTGGTCTGCCTTGCAAGCACAAGGACCTGAGTTCAATCCTCTTAAAAAAAAAAAAAAAAAAAAAAAAAAAAGAAAGAAAGAAACTTACTTCCCAACATACCACTCCATCTGCCTGCTCATGAGATTGGTGAGTTAGAGGAAGCTTGGATGATGGCATCTTGCATGCCAGAGTGTGGAATTTGAAATCTAATGTGTATTTTTTTTTTCAGATAAGAAATCTGAAATCTGAGAGAGGAGTATTTTCTCAAGTTTAGAAAGTAATTCAGTGACTCTCTGAGGCTACAACCTAGTTGATTAATTTGGGAAACAAAGGCTTTTTCCACTAGATCAATTCCTTTAAAGCAGAGTGAGTGCTTTTTCATCTACACATAGGTGTTGCTTTCCTTTATGAAGAGCCACATTTCAAGGTTAAATGACGTAGCTCTTGAAGTGTAGAACAGTGCTTCTCAATCCTGGTATTATTATTAGATCATCTGCAGAGCATTCTAAAAATCCTGAGGTGGGGGCCCCACCCCGGACCAATTATGTCAGTATTTGTGAGGGTGGAACTGGAGCCTCCCACAGGTTTTCAAAGCTCCCCACGTGTTTTTAATATCCAGTCAGAGCCCTGCAGTCTCATATACAGTCAGTCTAACCTACAGGTGGTGGGCTACAGAGCAACACTTCCAATGAGCATTTGGATCATCTAGAGATTTTGTTAGAATGCAAAATCTAAACCAGCAGGTCAAGGTGACCCCGAGAATCTCTCCATTTCTAATAAGTTGCCACATTCGGTTAATATTATCAGTCCTGGACCACACTCCAGGAGGTGCTCTGGGTTTCTAGTCACCCACTTGGTCACTGGATGGTCCAGTCAGAGCTTGGGAGTTACCTCTCTTCTTCAGCCTCTCTTCATCTCTACCCTATGCACACTAGGCCATCAGATATTGTCTATCCCCCACAGCTCCTATCCTTCCTTGATGCGTTGGCACAGCATTCTCTTCCCTGTGCCCCACCAGCACTGGCTGGTGTCTCCTGATGGACTTTCTCCTTCCCTCTTGCCCCTGCCAGGTCTGTCTTCACTCTGTAGAAGTAGAAAGCTCTTCCTTGACACAGGTCTTAAGCACGGCATCCCCAGGCCTCTTCTCTCCCTGATCACCTGTGACTGTCTAAGAACTGGATACCCTTCTGCTTCCAGTATTTCCAGCACCCAGCTCAGCGCCCATCAGACTCTCAATAAATACTTGTTGAATTTAACAAACAAAACCTGAAACTCCAGTAAGCAAGGCCAAACAAAAGCTTTGGTTGCTCTCTTTCCGATAAAAACGAACATTCCTTTGAGATTATGCATCAGGCTTTAAACTCTCCACTGGGGGGCGGGGGGGGTCCCGACCAAATTTAACAAAAGTAAGTGGTTATTTCCTGTCTGGGTTGTGTGTTTTAATACAGGCCTAAAGCAGGCGACCGGGCAGAAAGGGATGCCGGCAAGGACTTAGAGGTCTGCTTTCAAATTTAGGCTGGAGGTCTGGGATAGGGTGAGTACGGCGAACTGTGACTTTTCGACTCAGGAGACAGTCGCTAGCTCGGGGAGGCGGGCAGGAGTCTGTAGCATGAATTAACTTGGCGCGGAGGGAGGCGCCGCGCTCTGCAGCCTACGGGTTTCGAGTCTTGCCAGAGCCCACATGGGCCGCTGGCTTGGGGAAGGGGGCGGAGGAGAGGGAGGGCAGGTCCGGAGCAGAAAGGGTGGAGGAGGGGGGAGACCGAAGGAAATGAGACAACCTTTTCCTCCCACTGACTCGGGCTTCTCCAGCGTTTGCGGAGCTCAGCACCACAACTCGTGAGCGCAGAGGCCGGTACCCCGCGCCCCCAGCTTAGCCCGGACTCTATCGGGTCGCCAGATTTCTCTGCGGGGCAGGGGTGCCAGCCCAAGCCCGGGACAGCACTTTGCCGAGTACTCTCCTTGGAGAGCGGGCTCTAGGTCTCGCCGCTTGGCTCCGGAGCGTCCGGAGCGCAGCCCCCGGAAGTGCGCCCCGGCGGTCCGGCGAAGGTAAGCGGCACCCCAGAGCGCTCTTGGGGTGCCGGGCGCCGGGCATTTCCACGCGCCCTGGCTTCTCTCCAGAGGCCCCTCTTCGCAAATACCTCGAGTTTTCTGACCTGAAGCCACTGCTTTGTTGCCGAACCCCTGCCCAGGTGTTGTAGGCTGGGAGCCCCAGGAAATTCTTGCTTCTCGAAGCCTTCCTTTTTGTCTCCTCTCCCCGCAGTGACCCTATCGCTTTCCCCGCTCCATACTTTTCCTTTTCTGGATTTAACAACTCTCAGCTTTCTGTCTCTGCAGCCTGGTTTTGGAGAACAGGTCCTTTCCAAATCTGGGCTCCTCTTTCCTCCTCCGCCTCTCTCCTCCTCCGCCTCGGGGAGCTGGGTTGAGCGGGTTGGCCCGCGGCAGTAACTGGCTTTGATCTAGGGCCTGCGGGGGATGACCTGCTTGCGATTTTCGTGTCTTACCTGGCTAGTTTCAGAGACACTCAGCTTCCCCAACCCCCGTCCGCTTTTAGTGACCCTCAGAACCCCGAAGTCAGAGTGGATTGCGTAATGAAATTACGCTGTTGGCGCCCCCTAAAGCCTCAGTGGGACGTTCTGCTGGTCTTTAGGGGCTCAGTCTTCTGCCCCAAGCCGCTCATCTGATGGGTTCCAATGACTGGGTGGAGTGCACTCGAAGTGGAGCGCCGCGGGGTTTTGAGGTAATGAGAAGTTTAGAGAGAAGAGGAGGACCTACCACACTGCTCGCTAGGTTGCGGTTTCACTCTTAGTAACTGCCTGAGCTCGCTGCACGTCAAGTTTGTGAGTAGTGACTCTTATCTCCATTTTACAAAGGAGCAAAATGAAATGCGGAGAGATTAAATAAGACCCAGGGAGCCACACCAAATGGAAAGGGCCCAGCCAGGATTTGGATCTCAGATGGTCTTTACCCCACTTCCCAAGTCCAGCCCTACAATGTTTTCCTGCGTTCAGTCAAAGCAAAAGCCCGCCACCACCATCTCCTTGCTCGTGCCACAGAGAATCGGGCTTTATCCTTTCTGAGCAAATACATTTTGATTTGATTCAAATCCTAAATATTTAGTATTTAGTATCTTGTATCTTAGTGGCTAGTACTGAGCTGTCGCTTTGTTTTTGTTGTTGCTGTTTGCTTGCTTTTGAAAAAAGGTCTTGCTAAGTATTTGAGTTGCCCAGGTTGGGCTCTAATGGAATCCAACTTCCTTAGCCTCCCAGAGGGATGGGATTCCAGGCTGTGCCACCACAGCCTGACTATTTCACCTTTGAATTTCACTCTTTCATCCCTCCCTGTCATTCTGTCTGCCACCAAATGCACAGTTCTGCCTCAGAAGGCTGGATTAATCTCTTCTCCTTGAAAGGCAGTTAAGTACAATAGCTGGAATTAGTCTCTTCCCTGAAAGGCAGTTAAATACAATGGCCAGGAGGCCAAGCCCTCCAGCCAGACCACCGGAGTTTGAGTCCTGGTGGACGCCTTTCTGTACCTTTCCAAGGCTGGATTTCCTCACCTGTAAAGTATGGATAGTAGAATTTAAACTGATGGTTCTCAACTGGGGTTTGACTTTGCTCTCAAGAGACAACTGGACACATCTTTTGGCTGTCCCAATGTGAGTGTAGGAGGATCTTATTCATCACGTGGAAGTTAGGGGTGCAGCTAAATATCCAGCACTGCACTGCACAGCCCTTCCCCCAAGGCAGAATTATCTAGGCCAGAGTGTTAATAGTACTGAGGTTGAGAAACCCTGGCTTAGTGCATCTGTACATAAAAGTTACCATTATTTCTAATTCTCATCCTTATCTGCTGCTTGTTGGCTGACTATCCCAGCCTCTGTCCTCATGTCTTCATTCCAGTACCAGTATTATGTTGCTAAATCCAGAGCAGGACTAACTACGATACCTTTGTTGGTACTACATTGGTAATAAAAGGGGCAGAGATCTACAGATGTTTTACAGTCCTTAAAGGTAACTCTTCTATATGTTCAAGTTTGAGAATCATTGTATATATAGAATAAAATCTTATCTTGGCCCCAGTTTACCTTCCCAGCCTCACCTTATGCCACCTGCTCTGTGCTTCTGCTGTCCCTCTCAACTCCCTCTTCATTTGATGTTCTGTGTCCTGACTCTTTGGAGTGCCCTCCTCCTCCTCTGATTGCAAGTTCCTCACCATTCTTTGAGACTCATCTCTAGTGCCCTTCTGGATAAAGCATTCTTTACTTTCTAAGACCTGTTGCTTCCTGCTGCACCAGCCCATTGACCTTTTTGTTCCTTCAGCATCTCTCTTGTAGTATGTACCTCTTCATGTAGGGATCCCTGGGAATCTCTCTACTGCTCTCTGCATACTTAGAACCTCACACAGTCATCGTGTTCAGAGTGGTGGCTAAGCTTTTCCAGGCTTTGGGGTTCTGCTGCCTGTGTTCAAATCCCAGTTCTGCCATCTGTTAATGCTATGACATTTGACAGGTAGACTCAGTTTCTCAAGCCCTTATTGGTAAAAAATGAAGAAAGAGTCCACCTTCCTTGCAAAGTAGTGACTGAGGACCTACCCTGTGTCAGGATACAGTTCAAATGTAGTATTTTAATGAGTTTTTGCTCACTTAACCCTTATAATGTCTCCTTAAAGTTACTATTGGTATTGTCCTACTTTCCAAACAAAGAAATGGAGGCACAGGCAAGCTAAGCACTTTACCTGGCCTTATACTCACTGGAGGTGGGGTAAGGATTCACACAGACATCTGGATTGTAGAGCATATATTCCTCATACTATGTAAATATAAGCTGAGGTTTGTTGAGTGCATGAATAAAACCCTGTGAGGGCCACTGAGTTCTTCACCTGCACCTAAAGCTATGCCATTACTTTAAAAATTCCTGTCCTTCCTTCCCTCCTTGCCTTGCTATAGTCACAGAGGAGCAGGACTTTGGGGTACAAAATCCTTCTGTTACAGCATCAGTTCAGTACCACTGGCCCAGATGCTAAATGGGGCCTATGTGTGCCCACTCAGGCCTAGAGCTCTTTGGGGATGTGGGTGGAGTTCACACTCTTGCCTGTAGCAGAGAGAGATACAGACCTGGGATGAGGAGCTTCATGACTTCAGCTTTGTCTTTACTAAGCATGGGCCCTTTTGTAGTGAGAGTCTACAAATAATGTTGCGACCAATCAATGAACGGGGAGGGGTAAATGTCACCAAACTGGCTGTCCTCCTGCTTTATACCTGGTCAAAAGCAGAGTATACTTTCTCTCCAAGTATTTTGAGGAATATTTCTGTATTAAAGGTAAAACTTGTTAAAGGAAATTAATGATTCATATGGAGTATTGGATAACCAGATTTGGAAGCAGTTGACATCCCCTGTCTGAGTCATTTGTGATATAGCATACTCACTTTATAGCTCATCACTTTATCATCTCGGAGTCTTACTTCCTCCAAAGCAGCACTGGTTTGGAAGTTGAAAACCCTTCTTATTGGTCTTTAGGTCACTTGCTCTGTAGGCCAGACTGTCTAGCACAAATACCTGCCCATTTGTGGACTCTGGCTTCTTCCGCAGCTGTCCTGAACAGCTGTAATCCCTCTGTATTTTCTTGTTTTGGCAGATTATCCCCCAGCTACAGTAGCATGAGTTCACCTGGCCTGTGCAAGTGTGTGCAATTCTGTGAGGGGCAAAGGAAACACTCCAGTAAGGGTTGCTTTTGAAGGTAGAGCATCATGGAGGTTAACAGAATGTGGAACAGGGCTAGAACATGCCTGTGCAGAGACACATCTCAGATGCTGTGGATGCCCTGTAGCACTGCCTTTCCCTGCAGGCTTCAGACTTTACCCATTTCCTGGCATTGTCCCCTTTCTTGGGACACCTGCCACTGATCTGAGAAATACTTTCCTCCGGGATGTCAGCGACAGTAGTAAAAGACCTGGAACCTTTGGGCATTATTTGTATTTACAGTGAGGCTTTAATCACCTTTTCTGGAAGAACTAGTCATGTTGGTGGGTAAGGTGGGGATGTCAGACTTGCTGCCCCATTTCCAGGTCTCTGATGTCACACTTTATTGTCCCCCTCTTTGGGAAAGCTCAGCTTAACTTACAGGTGTGTACATTACTAATGAAGCTAGCTCCTAGTTCTAGGGAGGCACACTTTTCCCTGTTGAGGTTTTTGGCTGTGTTCTCTGTGAACTGTACTCTGTGCTTGACTGTGTGTGAAATCCTTTTTAAAAAACATTTGGATCTGGGGCTGGGGTGGAGTCTTGAGATGTTATTGTGGACTTGGAGTACAGGTGCAATGAGTAGTTCAGTGCTGGCTGCCAGAGACAGGGAGATGAACAAGACACAGGCCATATCATTGAGGTCACAGTCCATGACATAGAGTGTAAATTCAAAGAGGACATCAGAATGTGTTCAGGAGAATAAGGGACACCTGAGTAGAGAACTGTAGGAGCTCAAAGGAACCAGCCACCATTTTGCTAGAGTCAGGAAAAGCATGTGAGAAGGACACTTGAGCTGGGCCTTAGCGCACAAGTGGGAGCCTCCTAGGTTTTTGAGGGGAGTGGGATTGGTGATCAAAGGGCATTATTATTAAGAAACAGCATGTATAAATCAGAAAGTCAAGAAAAGGGCTGGGAGATACATAGGTATAGGGGTGGAGACTAGAGGCCTAGAAATGGTTGGGGGAGTGGCTGACTTTTTTGCTGTTCTTTTACTGGGGATCGATCTTGGGCCCTTTTGCTTGCGAGGCAGGTGGTGGAACCACTGAGCCAAATCCCCAGCCTGTGGCTGACTTTTTAACAGTCCAGGTATCTGTCCCTGTATGGTTGGGAGACAATGGAGTGAGCATTTACACTCAGGTGTGCCAAACTCTTTGAATGGTGGCTCTGCCTCCTATCTCTGCTGGCCTTGTTTCCTCTTGGGGCAGTGGGACAAGAGCCCAGGGGTCAGGCAGGGACACTGTCTCCACTTAGCAAAGAAACATAGTCAAAACAAAGCTGAGCATGGTGCTTCTGGATGATTGTTTTGT